CCCAGACCCAAAGTGAAATCAAAAGAACACTGTTTCCCCTAAATATGCTTCAGCTTCAGAATAAAGAGAATTTTAGCATGGCTTTTATGTGCCTTGTTATTTACTTTGAGATCTTTTAAAACAGAGTTTCTTAACAGAAATGCTGCTGGTGTTTTTTAGGGGTTGGCTCTTCCATTAAGATGATTAGCAACATCTCTGGCCTGCACTACTAGATGCCAGTTGATAACCAGAAATGTCTTCAGATATTGCCAAATGTCCTTGGGAAGTAGAGGTGGGAAACAAAATTGCCCTGAGCTAAGCATTCCTGCTTTGAATGGTAAGATGTCATATAAAAATATTTTTATAAAGCAGTTTTTCAAATTAATTTTTGCTAACTAGCTGGATCAACTGAAGAGAATTTAAAGTCTTTATTAAAGGCTAGTACCTATTTGACTTTACAGTATGGAGAAAGGAATTATGACTTAGTAAGATAACACATAATTAATAAATGTATATGATATGTACAATTTAATGTGAATAATGCTTAGCAAATTCCAGAGAATATTAAACAAGTATATACACTTCTATAACATTGAATTTTAAGTTTTCTAAGCATATTTTAGAAAGATATTTTAATTTTGGACTTGGAAGTGGTTAAAAACAGCCCGCTGTTGGAAAAAAAAAAAAAGTTCCAGTAGATAAATGTGAATTAATCATTCTTTCAGTCATTCAGTCAATGTTTACTGATAAAAATGTAGGTTATAACAGACTGTTTACATTTTTAAGAATTACACCTGCAGACAATAGCTCAATGATATATAGCTCTAGGTAAGCATTGTGGTAGTGTGGTTAGTCCTGATCATGTTTAGGCTTGTCCTAAAGAAGCAGGAGAGAAAAAAGTGAATTTAAGACCACAGTTTATATTACAAGGGTTGTGACGTATACTTTTTGGCTCAAACACAAATTTTCATCCAAATGTCTCAGATCCATCACAAACTAAAGGTCAAAAGAGAATTGTAGAAGTAGCTGAACTTTTAAAAAATTACTACTAATTCATCACTACTTATGTTTTCCATGTTTAAACTTATAAAAATTTCCTCTACTTAACAAAATAAAAAATTTTAGCATAATTCAAAGAACAGCTAGTGAATAATAAAATGTCCTGATCTCTTAAAATTAGATTAATATTTTCACTGCAATGTGTTTTTGTCAATTAATTTTGCAGTGCCTAGAAATCTACAAAACATTTCTCAAATAGTGTTCTTAGGCATAAGCAATTAAGTGCCTTCTCTGTTCTTTGTTTTAAGGGTCATACTGACAACAGAAGGAAGGAATGAAATACAGCGATCTACCTGAGGTTTAATAGGATAGTGCTTTAAAAACAGGACATTGAATCCAATCCATAACTAAAATCTGGACTACTCAATTCAAAAACAAACCTATATCTAAATGAGGGTAGTATCACCTGAAAATCTGAATACTGAATTAATGAATAAATGTTTGAAATTTTAATCTAGTTATTCAAGTCTGTAAAATACCTTTAAAAACATTCTAGATTTTTTTTACTACAAATAAAATATTTAAAATAATTATTTTAAAAGTACATTTTAAAGTAATAATAAAGTCCAGCTCTCACCATCTACACTGGGCTTTAGGCACAGGAAAGGGAAATCAGCATCTCTTCCAAAAGTCCAACTGGACACACAAAAGCTAAGGGCCTCACTGACTTCCGATCTGTGACTCTCAGACGCAGTACTAATGCCTTTATCAGAGAATTCAGATGGATTAAGTTACTGCGTTCTTAAAAGTCCCTGACTATCAAACATTATGTGGAAAAGAAAATAAAAACACCATTTTTATGGCTTTTGACTTAGGAAAAGTCAATGAAAAGGTGATAAGATGGGAACTCTGACCTAGGAAAGCACTGATTTCTAAGCAGTGCACTCCTCTGGCAAACAAGAGCTACAGTTCAGCGGGTGTAATCAGGGCTCCACCGGCCCCTCTACTCTACAGACGACATCAGTGGCTGCAAAATGAGGGGCGAGCCCCCCCTTGTGCAGAAGTGACACCCTAAACTCCAAAATTCCAGCACAAACCTCGCAACTCTCAGGGAGGCATTTTGCCCAGGTCCACAGAATCTTCTGCATGCTTTTATTTCCAAAATTTGCCCCATAAAATAAAATCCTGTCTCTGGAGAGAGCAGGGCAGATGCCTCTAGAGTCCCACGTTTTGCCCAAGTATCAAGTATCGCATCTTCGTCTACAGCTGCCAACCACCCTTAGAAAACTGCAAAGCCACCCAGACAGGCCATAGGCCAGGGATGCTGCTGCTGCACTTCTCATTTCCTGGTCAAGTAAGGCGGGGCGGAGACTGAAGTGTGGGATCAGGATCAGAAGTTGGGATGGCCTGGAGGTCTGGCGCAAAGCCCCAAAATGATTTTTTAAATCCATCTTTCAGTAAAATTAAGAAAATGCAATCGGAAGTGCAGGCGGTGAACTTTCCCGTCTTGTGGCCTTCCCGGGGAGCAGCGAACTCGGGAGAACTGCACTCTCAGGGCGGGGCGAGGCCTACTGCCTTCCCCAGTGGGCTACTGCTAAGGAACCCTGCGAAGCTGCTCCTCCTCCTAGGAGTGGAGACTCAGCCCGCTTATTCCTTCAGTTTGTCTCCGCGTGAAGCTCCACGGTGTCCCGGGGCATTTATTTTCTTCGAGTTAATAAAATTAAGCCAAGTCCCTAGCGATAGCGAAGATAGGACCTCTTGACAGAAGACCGCAACCTCCAGGCGCTCCTAAGGCCTGGGGTGAGCAGCGCTCAGCACCGTGACCGGCCGTCCCCGCGCCCCACAGCCTCAGACTCGCAAAGGCCAAGGCGCTCCCGAATCCGATGTGTACACAACTGTTGTTCAAGAGCTATTGTAGAGTCAGGTTTCGAACGCGTCGCGTGCACACCGGGCCTGGGCGGGAAGAGGACGAGGGGCCCGGCTGCCTCTGCTCGCTGCCCCGCCGGCCCTGAGCTGGTCCGGCTCTGAGCTCGCGAGCTGCGAGGAACTAGCGGGATGCGATTCTGCCACCCACAGGGAGCCCTGGAGAGCCAATGCGGACCTAGCTGCGAGCTGATTCAGAGGAAGCCGTCCTTCCCTGGCCAGGGGCTCGGGAGTGCATTTCTGCCGGGCCGTCTCAGCCCTGCGTCCCTGCCAGTCCACTAGACCAGCGGGCTTTTCGCACCCCGGTTCTCCTCGGACTCTGTTCTGGGCCCCTGTGTGCGTGCTTCTCCTTTAAGTTGTCCTTCTGGCTGATTCGGAAGTCGCTACCAGCTAGAGAAGGTTTGTGCTTTGTCATCCTCCTCATCACTCTCTTTATTTTGACCCTACCCTGTCACATTTCCAGAAAATGAGATCTCAGAAAAGAAAGCCTCTCCGAAAAGGCGGTGGGCCATCTCACAGAAATGATGCAAATGGTTTTGGGGCTTTTGTCTTCCCCTCTGCTATTTTTTCCCCCCAAACTGTGAAGATCTGTGAAAATAATATCAGGGTTTTCCGTGAGAACGCGCTTTTCTCTGCACTCAGGCATAGCATGATCTGACGTGACACCTCCAACCATCTGTGCTATCTATCTGCCTTCTGATTTACCAGCTCTGTACAAGCCGAATACAGACTGTACTTGATACTAAAGAAAAGATGGTCAGGCCCAGTCCAGTTCTGTGGTGAACTTTCCCCCCTGACTTCTTCCTGGGAATGGGCCTGCTGGTGGCCTTCCTGGCCTTCTCATTGGACATTCCCTCTATGGAGTATTTTCCTCAAACTAAGCAAACCCTTATCAAAGGCCCAGATGAGATCGTGGTTTCTCTGAACCAGGCTTCAGAAAACAGTAAGAAGTGGATGTGGATGTCAATTGGGGATCAATGAAAAGTTGCCCATGCAATCTACTGGCCAGATGGCAGAGCTGCAGAGGAGTCCCCTCCTCTCTGAAGGCAGGGTCCAACCCCCATCGGCTGAGGCAGTGCTTTCTAGCCCCCTACACACACACACACACACACACACACTATTGAGGATCCCCTTCCCTAACTTATTTACTGCACTGGCATTGCTTTTGGGGGGGGAAATCCCAAGATTTCTATCTCCAGCACCAGTTATGTATTCTAACACATGGCATGGGCAAAATTAGCCTGCAGGCAAGAAAGAAAATCTGTATTTTCAGAAAGATCTTTGAAACACGCCTTTAAATTGTCGTCCTGACCTAACAATGACTTTTCACTTTAGATGTGGCTGTGCTGCACATTTGTTCAAGTCTATTAAACTGGAGAGGAGGCTCCTACAGTCACCTTTTCTTGAGGTGTTTTAACTCTGCAGAGCATCCCTGCTATCAAGTGTTCTTGCTTGCATTCAAAATTATTTTAGGAAATTTTCAAGGGCATGGGGATGGAGTCCAAACTGACCTCTTCTACAGATCCCTGGTCCCGTTCCTTCTGCTCCACCTCTGCTTTCCATTCAGCTGCTCTGACAACCAGAAAGGGGAAAGAGAGAGGCGAGCTCGGGAGGATGTTTGCAGATAGGAAAAGATCCACTCTGCCGCCCTCTCTCCTTCCTGAATGCGCTCCACGCAGGGTTTGCTGTTTGTTACAACTAAATTGTGAATTCTTAGAGAATTTCGATTTTTTCCAGTCCTCTTTGTCCTCTGGAGACTTTGCTACCGAGGCATCGAAGAAATTCAAAGTGATCCCTGTAGCATCCCTGCCTCTGGGTGGAGAAAATAAACAGGGGTGGGCAGGACAGGGGGAGAGCGAACCGCTTCGGCGCTCGCTCGTTTTCCGCTCAGCCACTCTTACGTCTTTGCATCCCCCAGGTTCTATAAAACACTGAGGAAGAGTCCACCGGCGAACCGCGGGCGCTGTCGAGCGCTGGGAGGTGCTGAAATGGCCCCTGCGCTCTGGTCGCAGCCTTGATTGGCAGAGCCGGCCGATGACTGACAGGGGGTCTCCACGGCGCCCGCGCCGCCAATCCGCCCACCCCAGTAGCCGCGCCCGCCGGCCTGGCTGTGTGCGGGAGGGAGCCGAGCCCGCGCCTCGCAGCCCGCACCTGCTCCAGTCAGGGACGCTCGCTGCCGGCCGCGGTGCCGCCGCCGTGTCACCCCAAGTCTCCTCACCGAGAAGATCCTGGCGCACCCGGCCCGGCCCGAGCACGTCTGCTGTGTGTCCCGTCCAGGGCTCAGCGCCCCCGCTGCTGCCATCGCTGCCTCGATGTTCCAGCTGCCCATCCTGAATTTCAGCCCCCAGCAAGTGGCCGGGGTCTGCGAGACGCTGGAGGAGAGCGGCGATGTGGAGCGCCTGGGTCGCTTCCTGTGGTCGCTGCCCGTGGCCCCTGCGGCCTGTGAGGCCCTCAACAAGAACGAGTCGGTGCTGCGCGCGCGAGCCATCGTGGCCTTTCACGGTGGCAACTACCGCGAGCTCTACCACATCCTGGAAAACCACAAATTCACCAAGGAGTCTCACGCCAAGCTGCAGGCACTGTGGCTCGAAGCGCACTACCAGGAGGCGGAGAAGCTGCGCGGACGGCCGCTGGGGCCAGTGGACAAGTACCGCGTCAGGAAGAAGTTCCCGCTGCCTCGAACCATTTGGGACGGCGAGCAGAAGACTCACTGCTTCAAGGAGCGCACGAGGCACCTGCTCCGAGAATGGTACCTGCAGGACCCATACCCCAACCCCAGCAAAAAACGTGAGCTCGCCCAGGCAACCGGACTGACCCCCACGCAGGTGGGCAACTGGTTCAAAAACCGCCGACAAAGGGACCGGGCGGCTGCAGCAAAGAACAGGTCGGTACTGGTACCGAGAGGCCTCCGCGCTCCTCTCGCGCGGCGCGCACCGGGAGCGGGAGCGGGCGGGAAGGAGGCGTGCTTGGTGCCCCGGCCTAGTGCTGAAGGCTGCGCGTCCGCAGGAGCTGGGAGGGCGGTGGCCTTCTGTTTGTGCGCCCGAGTTCAAGGCGCCTGTGCGAGAGTTCCCTTACGCGGCTCCGGGTTCCTCACCATATCTCACAGAGCCTCAGGGTCACCGCAGTAACTGGTCCCTGTGAACAAAACCAAGGCTTCTGTGCGGAAGGGAGAGAAAGATTAAAACTCCAGAAACAATTAGGAACCCCAAGACCAAAGCTAATTTTTGCCTGCTTGGGCCAGCATTCTACCATTAAGTGGGGCCTGGTTTATCAGCGATGCGTGGGCTTCGGGTTACTATTTTTAAAGCCCAGGTGCGCCCCTCACCAATGCTTTGAAAACACGTCTCGGAGGACTCTTGTTTCTAAGAAGTAGAAAGTTGTCCTCTTCCCACGTGCGACTAGCCTTGTCTCAAAAGCGCATGCTAAGTCCTGGTCCCACGCTCTTCATTACCAGTTTGCGCGTCTCTGTGAGCCAAACATTTTGGCCAAGAGCGCAGCCTCGGGCCCCAGGTCCAGATTCCCCGGGAAACCCTCGGGCGGCAATGCCTGCCTTTGGCTCCCGCCGACCTGGCCCTGGGCCCTGCTCAGGGGTCAGTCCCAGACCCGTGCACTGCTGAGCGGGAGTCCCACGTCCGGGCCTGATCTGCCCTAGTCGCCTACACCTCAGCTATTTCCAGGCAGCCCCGTAAACCTCCCCAAAGTGGGCAGCAGCTGGGAAGAAAGCTGCCAGCCCAGCATTCAAAAGACGGGAAATGAGGAGCCCAGAAAGGGCCCGAAGGAGGGTTGCGCTGCTGCAGGGCTCCCCGAGAAGCGACCTCGGTCTCCTTGCCATCCCCACCATAACTCCCGGGTCTGAGGAAGCAAGTCGGGCCTTGAGGCTGGAGGACGCGTGCTGGGGCGGGAAGGGGCCTACCGGCGCGGCGCGGCGCAGCGCTCTGACCTTGTCCTTCCTTCTCCACAGATTGCAGCAGCAGGTTCTGTCGCAAGGCTCCGGGCGGACGCTGCGGGCAGAGGGCGAAGGTACGCCCGAGATGTTGGGCGTCGCCGCCAGCCCAGCTGCCAGTCTATCCAGCAAGGCAGCTACCTCGGCCATCTCCATCACCTCCAGCGACAGCGAGTGCGACATCTGAGTTGTCCAAGCAGCACGCTCAGACACGAGTCCAGTGTCAAAATAAGATAAACAAAAAGGAGAAAGAGGATGCGAGACCAGAAAATCCAGCGCTAGCGAAGTCAGGTGGCCAGGGACCCGCGGGTTGCAACCTCCACCTCCACCGACGTCGCCCAGCTCCGGTGGCTCCTTCGGCCGCCGCTACCGCAGGGGCCCGCGGTGAGGCCAGACTGGCACCACTGTTCTCTTCGCTTTGCTTTTTCCTGCGGGTTTTGCAGCAAAGATGCGTTCGGAACCCGAATTGCACGCTGAGCGCCTGCCCTGAGTCTCCTGTGGGTATTTCACGTCAAAGGACGCTGTTATATAACTTTTGCTTTAAAGGTTGTTTTTTTTTTTAAACAAAACATATATATATATATATATATATATATATATATATATATATATATATATATATATATATACTGTTTACTTATTTAAGAGCCTGACAGGTCGGTTTCTCTGATGCGTTTTGTGTGGAGAAGCCAAACAATAAAAATAATTGGTGGACAAACTTTCTTAATTAAGGCTGAGATTCACAAAATAGAAATCATTCTTACTCCTTTTATCAGGCATGCAGGGACGGATTCTTGTGCAAATACTCTCACAGGGGCCTTCTCTGTGTCCTGCACCTTCTGTAGTGTCTGCCGGTATACTTTAAAGAACGCCAATAGTAGGTCCATAACCACCTGCCACGTCAAACTATGTCTATGTATGTGCATATATGTGTGCATACATATATACATTATTATATAGGATCGACACTGGCAACAGAGCACACCCTGTAAGGCAACTCGCTGTGTCCCCAGCATAAGAAATTATAGTTTGTCCACCTGGCACTTATTTTTAGGAAATGTTAAAGGCTTCGAGGAATAATTTGAGAAACCAAACTTTGGGCTCTAGTAGTAAATACTATTCTATAAAAATGCAAAACTATTCTGACAAGGGCTCTGCAACAGAGAAGGTTTCCTGTCTCCTCTGAGGCCCCACAGCCATACAAAAGCAGTGACTAGCCAGGATTGTGCCAAGCAAACATAAGCTGCACTTGAAATTGAGCTTGTATTAAAATAATGTAAGAAAAGGATAGCAGAAATTGTAAGTAACTAGTCTAGTATCTTCTTACTAAGGATGCCACTTTTAATCAAACAAATGATTTTTAACACAAGAAAATGGATAGGATAACACATAAACTGGTCATACTGAGGTCATACTGAGGGTAAAACAAGGCTTTAAGAGAAATGACTGGGATTTAAAAACTCTGATTTCCACATTAAACATGAAACAAGCTATCAAGAGCCTCCGTCCTGGCAATGGCCTCAATGAAAAATAACAAGTATTTTTAGCATTAAGTTTTTGCCTCCTGCACACACACACACACACACACACAGAGGGAGAGCACTATCCTGACCCTAAGAAAGTAAAGTCTCTAAGCTTTTTTTCTTAGTGAAACAGATTGGCTATTATAAAATTTGACATTGATCTTTAAATCACTTGAGCTGGCCTCCCCACCCACCCACCCACCCCGGTGTCCTTTCAATTTGCTTCTCTGTCCTTAGGACATGCTCTTTATGCTCTTTGGGTCAGAAGCTGCTAATTTCTTTAGGCAGAAATGTAAAGCAAACAAAAACAACTGAAGTCGTGGAAGATAAAAAGCAGTCATATGACATGGTATACTTTGGAAGCCAGGGCATGAGTAGTGCCTGATACTTGGTTTCTAAATTGCTTGAATAGATTTGGCTCATCTGGACTTTATAAATGGTGGCCGTTGTGTACAGTGGCCCTTATCAAGAGAATTCTTGGGGCTTGGGGAAATCTTTGTGATTGAGCTGGTGTTCTTCCCACAAGCAAGCACATGCTCTTATGTGTGTCTTGAAAGGACTAGATGGTAGAGCTCATTTCAGACTCAATTTTGTTCACTTGTAGAGCCCGGGTAGTTCGTCCACAGCCAAGGGACAGCTTCAGACTCCAGTCAGGCAAGGAAAGCACCTGGACTACAAACTTCAAGGAGATATGCAGTGCTAGGCACCCAGATTAAGTGTTTCTTTAAATTTTGCTCTCTAGGTGCCTCTCCTACCTCATCTAGTCCTGAATCTCCCCAGCAGTATTGCACGTCAAAGAAAAATCCGGGAAGTTCCAGTCCCATGCCCCAGCTCTACCACCTTCTAGCTATGGAGTTGTCCAGAACCAGCATTTGGAGAAGATTGTTGGCAGAGTTTATGTCTTAATCTGATGATTCTGGGACCAAAATGGAAAAGAAAGGACTAATTAGGGGAATGATTCTTACAAGAATTTGAAATTCTAAAAATCCCAATCCACTCACCAGTTCAAATGATGCCTATAATCAGAAAGAAATGTCCCTCTGCAATCTCAAGAAAATAGGATAGCATTGCTAGGAACTAAGTTGTCTCCTTACCAGATAATTTTTAAGTGACACTTGCTTGGAGAAAACAAGGAGGTCAAATGGTGATAAAAGTTTTTGCTTTGTGCTTTGGTGAAAGCCTTTACACTACACTAACCATGTACTTAAATTAGCCACCTAAGGATTACGCTTTCAAGTGTACTGTTTTGACAATCTGGAGATGTATTCACCTAGTTTCATTTTAGAATCTGAAGGGGGTGACGCATTGTTTAAAAGATTCTTAAAATGTTTATCTGAAACATGGTGGCACTTAACTGCCTTTGTGAATAATCAATTCAAAGGTTGAAAATTAGTCCAAATCACAGAGATTTATTTAAGGGTCCAAATCTTCCTATGAACATATATTAAAGATTTCTTTATAAGATTTTTTTTCCATAGAAGTTTAATCTTGGCCTAGAGAAGATTTAAAAACCAAAATTACAGGTAGACAAAAGACTGCAGGTTCTGAATTTTGAGAGATCTTCCTTTGGGGAGTTTGTTTTTCTTCTTTTGCAATTCTCTGTCACAGTTTCTCCCAAAAGCAGAGTGGAAAGAAGCTTTGTTACATTTCAACAGACCTGACCGAGACAAGGATTATCCCCGGCCTTAGTTCAGGCTCTTTTACCGCTTATAACTATTTCACCCACCTCTCCCCTTTCTCCCCCCAAAAGAGCGTGGCCCCTACTGGCCGAACGCCTCAGCTCCCGTGGCCGCCACAGTAACGACCCACTCGGCTTCAGCCCGCCGCTCCCACTGTCCTTCCTCCAGTTTGTTTATAAAAGTCTGGGAGGGAGGGGAGGAGAGGCTGGGGTGAGGGGGGACTCGCTCTTTGTTTACATTAAACAACTGACAGGCAAAGAGCTCAAGCAGTCTTCCTTGACCTCATTCCCTCTCCCTAATTTTAACAAAAAGGAAAAAATATTGTATCGGAAGAGAATGGGAGAGGGGCGGGAGGAGGAGAGCAGCAGCTTGCGCTCTATTCAGCCCGGACTTGGAGGCGCGGCCGGTTTCCGCTCGCTTTGTGCGGGGGGCCGGGGGCGGCGGCGGGCAGTCAGGCGGCTCAGCGTAATCAGGGCTAATGACAGCGGCCGGGGCTCGGCGGGACAAAGCGCAGGGCCGCAGGGTTTTGTCAGCCTGAATGGCTAATAGGCGGCCAGGGCCGCGCGGGGCGGCGTCGGGAGAGGGGTCATTGTGCGCGCCCTGGCCCGGCGCCTAGGCGAGTCCCTGGCGCAGCCGCCCTGGGAGCCGGCGCGGGGCGAAAGCGCGGGGAGGCCCCTGCAGGAGGCCGGGAACCGGCGGGCCGAGCAAGGTGCCCCCCAGAAGCCTGGCCCGGGGCCGGGGCTCCTTCCTCCGTGCTCGGATCGCGGTGCCTGGGTACACTCGACTACGCGCGCACAACTTTTCCGTCCAGCGCCCGGGGAGCTCGCACTCGTGAGGGCTCGAGCCATTCCTGCTGTGACTGCCACACCACCAGCTCGAGGAGAGAAATCCCTGACACCGGGGGGACCGGATGGAGTGAAAGCTGAGGCAGGAGAAGCCCCAAGGGCGCGCGCTCCCCACGGCGGTGGCCTCGCCGCCCTGGGCCGCGCGGAGTAGGGCGCGAGAAGAGCGAGTGTGCCGGCCTGGGCGCGGGGTTTGCAGCTAAGGGCCTCGGGGGCAGGAGGAGCAGCGGGGCGCTCAGAGGACCCAGCACCTGCAACAGCACTGGGGCGCCTTCTTTCGGAAATCTTGTGACTTCCATTTCCTACTGCAAACTCCCAACGTCTTCGGGCTAGATCCTGCCTTGTAGCTCTCTGCTAGGGTTTATACTCCCAAACCGAAGAAGACGTACCCTGCCGTGAGGGAGCCAAGGATTTCCTTCCCCTTCAGCTCCTGTCTGCAGACAAAGCGGTGGGAGGGCGATCCCGGGGCTGCTGCGCAAGCAGTTTCACGCCTCACTGCCTCCCTCGCCTGGTTCCCGCTGGCCAGGAGGTTTGCCCTGCCGGGAGGCCTCCCCTACCTGAGCTGGGGACCAGTCCATCCACCGAGCCACCCACCTCCACCGAGTCTTCTGAAACCACTGGGTTCCCGGGTGGAGAGCTGTTCAGTTCCTTTTTAATGTGCTCACTACACCTTATCTAAGTGGCTGTTTAGTGTTTGTAACATTTTTGTATCTCTATTTGTCCATATGTTTGACTCCCTCTCCTTATAGAATGTAAGCTCTTTAAGGGCCAGGACCAAATCTTATCCATCTTTGTAATTCCAGCGCCTAGCCTGAGTAGTAGGTGCTCAATAAATATTTTAAAACTGGATTAATTAATGGAGCTTCCTTGAAACCTGTCTGTTCTACATTAGTGGAGAACCTGTGCTAACCCTGCCTGCATTTCAGCAGCAAAGATGACTAACGTTGACTGGACCCAGGGTTCACTTACATCTTCCCAGTTCAAGTTTGCAGGCTTTTGCTTGTAAAGTTCTCTGGGATGATTCGATCTCGCTCCCTCTAGGCATATGATTTTTCAGAATCGCATGGCTTTGGGTTCATAACATAAAAATTATCCTCTCACATAACATTTCTCAAACATTGAGATAAGTCATTCTTTCAGGCTTCAAAAATTCTGGCTAATGCACGTTTTACACCCTAAAAAAGTAGAATTTCTAATAATTTGTCATCATACAATGATATGTTTCCACCTCCAACATAACTGCTTTGTTTCCAGTGTTTGTGTCTCTCCAAAATTCCTGTTGAAACTTAACCCTCAAACCAATGATATGAAGAGATGGGGCCATTAGGAAATGAGGGCTCGGCCCCCATGAATGGGTGATGCCTTTATAAAGACCTTGAGGGAGACTGTTAGCTCCTTTTCACGCTTCCACCCTTCTGTCATGCCGGGACTCAGTATTGACCCCTTGAAGACTCACAAGATGTCTTAGAAGTGAGGGGGCCAACCAGGCCTCCTGA